AACTTTCAGATGGATTAACGTGCCCACGTGTAGATGAAATAAATTTTTTAAGCAGTGTTGTCATTTAGATACTGCAATGTAAAACACACCTAAGCGATGAGACACAGGATGGGTGAATTTATAAGCTATGTGGGGTATAATTCATGAAAAATGATGTCAAATCTCTGATCAAGTAATTACATTGTGTCTATTGCTCTTAGTTTTCTTCATCCTGAGACTTGGACTATTCATTTATCCTATTTCATGACTCTAAGTGGTGCAACAAATTTGGCTCTTAGCATGACCTGAACCTGTTATTCTCAGTGTCCATAGATCCAAATGCTTTATGATTTTCTACTAAAAGTGCAACTTATACAGATAAGACGCTGATTGTATGGAATAGTCAGATCTACCAGCTTACAACTCACACTTACAAGTTAGAAGGCAGTGATTTCTATTGCATGTTTTATGAAGCTTCAGTTTACCTTATTTTCTGAACCTGTCATTTAGGTCTTCTACAATGTTACATCAATCAACTGCAGGAGCTCTTTGTTCAAGCATTTAGGTTGAAGGATGTATTTTTTATTTGTATTACCCTTTCTGCTGACATGTTCATATCTTCTATAAAATTTACTCTGATAAAAAAAAAAATAAAACCTTTTCCACGGATCAAACTTTGGTCTTACCATAAGATGATATTTCCTGCTAGAGAAAATGTTATTTCCCTTTGTTTCAGGTCCTAGTATATGCTGATTATATTACAGCTTGAAAAACTGTTTAGCCCCAAAAGAGATATAATGCGATCTCATTCAATCCATTTGATTTCTGGGAGAAGATTCTTCTTATACATTTTTACTGTAGCATTTCTACTTCAGATTTTAATATGTTGGCCCACTACAGAACAAGGACAATTTTTGGGATTTCCATTTCCCTAATCATCATCAACATGGCCGCTATAATGGAGCGCGCTGATGAGAATCTCCTTCCAGCTGTTTACAAAGAAGTCAGTGAAGCTTTTACAGCAGGACCATCTGATCTTGGGTATCTCACATTCATAAGGAACTTTGTGCAGGGAATTGCATCACCGGTGGCAGGTATTTTGGTTTTAAATTATGACCGTCCCACGGTTCTTGCAATTGGTATCCTCTTCTGGGCCCTATCAACCGGTGCAGTGGGTGCGAGTAAGTATTTTCTGCAGGTTGCTTTCTGGAGAGCAGTAAATGGTTTCGGTTTGGCAATTGTGATACCTGCACTGCAGTCCTTCATAGCTGATAGCTATAAGGATGAAGTCAGAGGAGCGGGATTCGGGTTTCTTAATCTAATTGGTACTGTGGGTGGGATAGGAGGTGGAGCTATAGCTACAGTTATGGCTGGTCATGAATTTTGGGGCATACCAGGATGGCGCTTTGCCTTTGTCGTGATGGCAACTTTGAGTACTTTGATAGGATTTCTTGTTTTCTCTTTTGTTGTTGACCCAAGGAAAAAAGCCAGCATCCAGCGTGATATTTCAAAGCATTCTGACAGGTAGTTGCTTGTTAATCCACCTTTATGTTCGTCAGTTGTTGCTTCATTTCCTATTCTGTACTTAAGCAGATTCTACTCTTTGTTGTTATTTTTGAGTTTTCCTTTCTGATGCTTTAGGGAAGAACTGATAGAGAAGGGACATTCAAATATCAATTCAATGTCAATTTGGATGGAATCCTGGACAGCCATGAGAACTGTAATCAAAGTTCAAACATTTCAGTTCATTGTTTTGCAGGGTCTTGTTGGATCCCTACCTTGGACAGCCTTTGTTTTCTTTACACTGTGGTTTGAATTAATCGGTAGGTGGCCTTTTCTCAAGATTTAGTATGTCATTTTTTCTTGTGCTGATGTACAATTCTTTTACGGAAAAGGGCCAAATATATCCGTTTACTATCATAAATTATTTAAACTTACCCTTCGTTATACTATTTGGCCATTTCAGACCCTACCGTTATACTATGAATCACATTTGCCCTTATTTTTATGGAGGGCCACATGGCAGCTCCTCATTAAACGACCCACCCCCAATTTAATCTACCCGGTTCACAACTCAACTACCCATAAGCCGACCTGCTAGTGAATGAAAACAACTGCAGTTTTAATTTCCTTGCTTGGAACTTAATTTGCTCATCTCTTCCAAGCATATACCAGCAAGGAAAATCCAAAAGACCCTTCAATTCATTTTCCTCAGTGCTGGCCCATTCCGTAACAGAGTTGTACACCTCGAAGATGCCGAAGACAAAGACGAAGAAGATGAACTTCTTCAACTTCTCAATAAACAATTCTTCATCAACTTCGTCTCGAACCCGAACCCACAAGATTGTTGGGACCACATTTGAACTCCATTATTCAAGTTGTGGTGATCAGCAACAGCGTCATAACTTGATTTCTCGAATTTGAACATCAACAGAGTCTAGCCATTTTCGTAATCTTCAAACAACAAGTGACATCCCATGAAACCCATCAACTTCAATCCTCTCATTGCCTCTGAGTTTTCATTTCAAGTGCTTAATCTGCAATACCTTTTCGCTATCCACGCTGAAATACAACCTTGGATCTTTCCCTATTATGCAATCAATGGAGACTTCCTCTCTTTCCCAACGAAATTTGCTTTAGCTTTGGAAAGATCCCAAAAAATATGACTTTGTTATCTCCTTTGTTGTTAATATCTTTGGACCCCTGTTTCTTCTAGAAAATAAAGGGCTTTATGTGGAGGTGGAAAGGTGTACTGATGGAGGATAGATGAGGAGTAGAAATCATAGTATTATTGGTGGTTGCGTCGGTGCCGTAACGACGGCCACCTTAAGAAAGCATCAAAAACAAAAAGAGAAAGGAGAAGAGTCATAATGGGTCGGGTTATGGGTAGTTGAGTTGTGCACCGGATAGATTAAATTGGGGGTGGGTCGTTTAATGAGGAGCTGCCACGTGGCCCTCCGTAAAAATAAGGGCAAATGTGAATCATAGTATAACGAAGGGTAAGTTTAAACAATTTTCGATAGTAAAGGGATATATTTGGCCATTTTCTGATTCTTTTATGGGTGTTAAGTGCGTCAATGGTGATCATGAACTTATGATGCAGGTTTTGATCATAATAGTGCAGCAGCACTTGTCGGCCTATTTGCTGCTGGATGCGCATTAGGATCCTTTTTCGGTGGAGTAGTTGCAGACAGAATGTCTCGAATATACCCTCATTCAGGGCGTGTCATGTGTGCTCAATTTAGTTCTTTCATGGGCATCCCATTCTCATGGTTCATTCTTCGAGTTATCCCCCAGTCTGTAAGCAGCTACTCCACATTTGCTGTGACTTTATTCATAATGGGCCTCGCAATCAGCTGGTGTGCTACTGCTACAAACGGTCCAATGTTTGCAGAAGTGGTGCCTTCAAAACACCGCACCATGATATATGCTTTTGATCGTGCCTTTGAGGGTTCATTTTCTTCTTTTGCTGCTCCAATTGTAGGAATTCTTGCCGAGAAAATGTATGGCTATGATGCCAAGTCAGTTGATCCCTTATTAGGATCTACAAGAGAGGCTTTAGCATTGTCGAAAGGCCTATTTTCAATGATGGTTGTGCCTTTTGGTTTATGTTGCTTGTTTTACACCCCTTTGTATTGGACATTCAAGCAGGACCGTGAAAATGCAAGACTTGCTGCTGCAAAAGAAACAGAGATGATATGATGATCCCACACTTGTCATTTCTTTGTTAATTCATTCTTCTTGGACTCTTTGTGTCCATCTGGCAAGTTCAGTTCATTTGGATTTGGAGTTTCTCTCTGTGACCACATTGATGAAATCCTACTGCACTGCTGTAGGCGAAAACAACAGTTTTCCTGTCTAATTTTGCAGAGATGTCATATGGTGGTCACAACAGGTTAATCTCATCTAACTCAAAAATGTACTGGTGCTGGAACAAGTGGATGCATTTGCTTACCAAAGAATATGTCGATGCACGCCAACGCTCAAGTAGTTGCTTCTGTAACTGGTTAGAGAGGTAAGGGATGGGTTTCGCATGTTTGTCTGTGTTACATGTAAAACCTACCACTTTTCAAGTTAGAAGAAAGCAACACAACTAAATGTACCCTCTTCAATATTAAAGTTGAAATTGTTTATATAAAACAATAGGGTTTTAACATGACATCTCTTTAAATTCACCCTTTGCAATGGAGTCGGGATGGATAGTTAATTTTCTTCTCACTTCTCTTCTACTTAGCATAGCTTCTTAGACAATGCATTTTCAGACATACCATGTTTCAACTGTTTTTTGTTTTTCTTTTTTCATGGCATGCCGTTTAAGCTATTATAACAATCCATTTCTTGTGGAAATGAGAACAACTCCCAACTTGAAAACTGATAAGTTGTATATGTTACAACTATATTCTTTTCTACTCAAGTTACTTGTGCTTGTAATAAGCGGATTATTTTGACTAGTCTTTCGAGGGACGGAGCACATCTATGTGTATATTTTTGACTTATTTATAGTTTTCTTCAATTTTTATGTAATTTTACCTATTTAAAAATATTTATTGTAATTATAATATTTTATGAAATATTAAAAATTAAATACACATGGGGCTTACGCCCCGTGCCTCGAGGCTTATGTTCACTGAGACATATACCTCGTCTTATGTCCACGCCTTTTAAAACTCGAGGCTTATGCTCGCTGAGACATATATCTCGTCTTATGCCCACGCCTTTTAAAACACTGCTTACAACATTGTCTAATAAGGTTAAACTTGAGTTTCTATTGTTTAGTTATTATGTGATTAATATGGTCATTGAATTTTTTTACCCTAATTTTGAATTGTTGAATGCATATATACTTTTGGCTTCTAATAATTATGTTTTTACTTTTCCTATTTTTTCAAGCAAAGAAAGAGAATCTTGTTTTAGAATGAAACACCATTAACGTTTTAGTTTAATTTGTTCTCAATTAGTATTTTTTTTCTTTTTGCTCGAGTCTGAAAATTCAATTTCACGAATCACGATTACAAGAGTGGTTGATAGAATGTTAGTATAAATAAAATACCGAAATTATCTGACCATACAAACTGAAACCGAAAAGGTAAAAAATTTATCTTGATATGGTATTGGTATAATATTTAATATTTTAATAAACGAAAACCAAAAATACCAAATCAAATCTTTGAAAACCATACAGACTGATGAACACCCGTAGGCTACACGCATCGCGCGAAGCTTATGTTGTCCACACATCCACCATACATAGCCTTTCTCACATTTGATTTAAACAACTCAGGCCTGTCTCTCAACACAGCAGCAGCATCAGTATTAAGAGGATCCTCGGGGTTTGGTTCCTGCACAGGTGTTGAACGGGGATAAGTCAGAGACGAAGCTAGGATTTCAAGCTTATGGATTCGGAATTCTAAGCATTTTAAGTCACTGAGTTGTAAATTATTAAACTGTGAATAATTAATAAATTGTTCTAGACTAATACAGGGTTTGAACCAAAGCTACTGATTCGCTGAACCCGCAGCCAGAACATTGGCTTCGCCCCTGGGATAAGTTGACTGTGTATTTACATGTAACAAATAAGATGTCGGAGAGAACAAAACTATACCGTAAAAAGATGATATAATCCATAAACAATTGTGTTGATGTTGAGAACAGGTTTCCAATCTTCTCTAAGTACGTTGAGGCAGACACTACCCTCCAAATCGATATTAGGATGGTATACCTGCATCTCATACAGAAAGCTAATGAAAAACAGAATCTCAGTGGCCGATGTATGCCAGAATATAATGGAGAGGGAAATAGCTGTACCTTGGTCTTGCACTTTACTTTTGGTGGTTCGTGTGGATAGAATGATGGAACCTCGAAAGAGAATAGAAATTTTCCACCACTGCAACACCAAATCAAGTTGTTGTTTAGATGAGAATCAACATGATTGTGCAGTAAATATATAAACTGAAAGTGCAGAAAAGTGAATGCACATTGTTGAAACAATTATGCTCGATATGCAGTTGTTCTAGATTCTACATTAAGAAGGGAGAAAAAACAGTTGTGCAGTAGAAATTACTTACGCGTAGTATCCGTCATATGGCTTAATTGTAATTTCAAAATTCATCAGCTTATCCTTCCCACCAGGAAATGATATTGTACAAGAACGGGGCAGGTTCAGCTCGGTAATGTCTGCAAAGAGTGAGTTGAAGGGGTAAGTCTCAAGCGGGAGTACTTTACCATAACAAAGATTGAGAGGGAATTTCCAATCAAACAACCTCATGATAAGACCATGAAAAGAATAGACAGTGGAAAAATGCAATCACAGTTGAGCATTCACAAACAAATTCATCCCCCACCCCCAACAAAAAACCAAAAAAGAACCAAGAAAAAAAAAAGGCACCACGTCATTAAAAAATATTTTGAAGGAAAAGGACAACATAACACAGCATATTTTTCTTGATCAATCACTCAATGTATTTCTACTCGAAAGAGAACAGGCACCAACATATTTTCAAAGGATGGAAGATAGCGTGTTACGTATATAAAGCATCTCTTCTTGGAGAGACACAGTGATTAGCAACACATGAGTTACATCCCTGGTGAAATTGAATCAGCATGTATTCGCTAGAGGCCCTGCCACACTGCTCGTGCACCTCAATAATAACCATCTTGAATGCATAAAGCTATAAGATCATCAACATCATCCTTGGAAATCGAGTAATGGTTAATGCTGGAAATCAGGACCACACACGTTCACATACAGAAAAGTAATTGACATCAGTTTGCTCCTTCACATCCATCAGCACTCAATCTACAAAATATTTTTCATCCTCCTAGAATTGGAAGAAAGGCGAAGCTATGTGTGGCCAAGGGTGATCAACTGAACACAGGATAAAATATTACTTGTTAATCTATATTCGCATGTCTCATTTCGTTGTTACTTGCCATTGGTAATTCCGTAGTTTGCTAGCTTGGAATTAGTTTTCTAAATATGTTATCTTGCTGCTACTTGTTATCAGTACCCCTTTCATACTATCTGTTGCTATCTCCGATTTAGTTTTCTAATTATTGTTTTGCTATTACTTGCTACCATGACTTCTCTCACCTTCTTTAGCCGAGGGTCTATCGGAAACGGTCTCTCTGCCCTTCCAGGGTAGGGGTAAGGCTGCGTACATCCTACCCTCCCCAGACCCCACTTGTGGGACCACACTGGGCTGCTATTGTTGTTTGTTATTGATAAACAAACAGACTTTGAAGACCCTTGCATAGCCCGCTAACCTTATTGAATTTCTTGGCTACGCCACTGGAGTGGAGGCCTGCGGTTTGACATCTATAGACCAAAACAATCCTCATTATTTTTCCAATTGAGCAATCTACGGAGTTCCTTTCTCCAAGGAGGAAATTTTCAAATTCAATTTAATGTTCTTTCATCATTCACGTTAATATCACCCAGTTTCGAGATATTTCTATACCGATTACTGCATCAAAAGACATGTTGCTCTGATTGCTGATTTAATTTCCAACAGAACCAATGTGTGATGCTCAAATAAAACACTCCAAACAAAATTATATTGCAGAAACAACAATAGAAGAGTTAATATATCAAGCAAAAAGAGAATATCAAAACCTTTGTGTAGACGCAATTCCCCAGCGGTCTGCTTGTTGCAAGGGCCCTTCCCATTGCCATTCTCATTTGCCTCTTTTTGCTTCTCTTTTACTTTGAACAATTTGATCATTTTTCCTAACACAAGTACTAACAATCAGTTCCAGGGGCATAGTTTTCCAGCAATAACTTGAATAGTGAAAAGGGGATCACAAAATGCAAGTATTTTTACATTAAGATCAATAACCAACGGGTAATGATGACAGTTAAAGATAATCCAATTTTGTACTGGTCATGAAGAGCAATGTAAATAACTTGTAGAAACGGCTGTCAAAGAAAAAAAACCAAAGGACTAAAAGAGCAAAGATTTAAAACAGCTGCACTCCAGAGAATTCATCCCACTACTTCTACGCTAGTCGTTAACCTACTGCAACTCCCTCTTTTTATATCTATATAATGTATCTAAACGACAGGTTTAATACACCTACGAATATGTCAAACATAAAATAATAAAGTCAGGTTCTTTGAAAAGATCCAGGCACTTACTTAACTACACACAGGAAGCAAAAGCCGAGAGATGAAAAACATTTTTTTTCCTTGATAAGTAAGAAAGAATGAGATGGAGCACACTGTTTAAGTAAATAAAAACCACTTTCAATTCAAGTTATTTGTGATAACTGAATTACAAGTAATTTGAGAGATCAATACTACTCTACTAGTAATATACGCGTAGACGATTCGAACAGTAGTATATTTACTTTAACATGAACAAGTTCATGATTTTGTATATACCTTTCTGAATATGATTGGGAGACCCCTACAACATATTTAACATCTACAACACGCTTATTAGAGAAAAACTCTTCAAATTTTATAGGAATAAAGATTCAATTTTTCTCCAAATTCAGAATAAAGACAATGTAGCTATCAGCCAATACAGTTCTAGAGTCCTAAATTATGTGAAAAAGAGATGCAAAAACTAAACAGATAAATAAATATATGTCTAATACCATCAATATAATAAAACAAAGAAACAGTAGAGAAACCAAAACTTTTTCTTTCAAGAAATACCCCTAAAATTCAGTATCAGTTAATTAAACAAAGAAAGACACCAACCCCACACCCACAACACAAATAAAAAAAATAACGCAAAGGGTAAGAACGAGAACATAAGTAAAAGTGTTTTAGAATAAGAACAGAGTGATGAACCCAACAGCAAAAGGAGGCCAAAATTAGTACATGCAAATAAAAAGATTCAATTTTGATTTTGAAGAAAAGGAAAAGAGTTGGAGATCGTGACAATACCTTTTGATTTTTAAAGAAAGCGCAGAGAGAAAAAGAGAACAACCTTAAACGAGACAAGGGTACAGAGGAAGTAGTAATTGTCTATAAATATATATAGTGCGGTTTGAACAAAGGAGCACACGGATTTTTCCCAATCCCACAGTTCAAAGGACACTAGTTTATGTTTTTGTGTTCTTGGGCTTTGCTTATAACGCCGCTTTCTGTTATTTCTTCCTTGACCTCCACTAAATATGAGTTCTATTCTATAATATTGAAAAAGGAATATATTCCACTCGATATAACTAAAATTTTAAAAGTTGAAATTTTACTGATATTTTATATTTGTATTCTTTTTAGGTAGAATGCTATATTTAAATCTTGTTGAGGCACTATTTGATGATTTTTTTAATAATATATGTATATTAAATACTGTAATAGTTATAGTCAAACCATTCATTAAAAATAATTGAGCCTAGTATACCTGAAAATATTACTTGTATAAGCTATACCTCAAAATCACTAAGATCAAGAAAATATATTATCTCCACAATTTGGGGTCAAAATTAAATATACAACCAGAATTATATTTTATAAAATAAAAAAACCACTTTAATGTTTGATATTGTTGGTTATAGTGATTATAAGTTGATAATTAATCATAATTATTTAATAGAGTTAACTTTAGAGTGTATAGTTAGTTAAACTCAAGTAATTTGATGGTTAAACGGTGTCAACTTCATTGAATCAATAACAGATTTCATTTTCTTATTTTTGAGCTATTCTTCTCTTCTCTCAGATTCTCTCTTCCTCTGAATTCATCTCCCTTCCATTGCTGGCAGTCATGACAGCTAACATGGTATCAAAGCCATTGACTTAGATCTATATCGCAACTCTAGTTTCGTCTTAGTCTTCTTAGAAACATCAGTTCAACACTCTTTGGTTGAATTGTCTTAGAGTTATCTGAGCTAGAAACATCTAGGATTTGTGAATTGGATGATATTTTTCAGAATTGGTCACTATAATTTCTCCACAATTACTTTGCTGCAAAAAAAATGGCGATTGGAGATGAATGGAGTTCTACGAATGGTCTACCTATTTCCCCGACCACAGAAAATGGCAATTTGGGCACTGGTACAACAAGCTTTCCAACTATCAATCACAATCATCCTTTGTTCTTACAGCCAACAGACACTCGAGGTAGTACAATGATCTCCCTTCAACTTACTGGATCTGACAATTTTTCCCTATGGAGTCGTGCTATGAGGATTAGCCTTTAGGTAAGAGCAAATTAGATTTTGTTGATGGTCGATTTCTTAAAACCAGATTTGAACCTAAATTGCATGATTAGTGTGAAAAAGTTAATATTGTTGTCCTATCATGGATCATGAACTATGTTAGGCCAGGTCTGTTGAGTAGTATTTTGTATGCTTCTGATGCTCATAAGGTATGAAAGGATCTTAAGGAAAGGTTTGATAAAGTCAATGGTTCTAGAGTCTTGTGCCTTCATGGAGAAATTCATACTCTGACTCAAGGAACTATGACAATAGCTGATTACTTCTTAAAATTGAAAGACCTATGGGATGAATTTGATGCACTCATGCCATGTCCTGGTTGTCCTTGTCCTGAATCTAAGAAACATGCTCAACATTTGAAGCTCACAGACTACTGCAGTTTTTGGTAGGATTGAATGAAAACTACGCTCAAACAAGGAGTCAGATTATGATGATGTCTCCGGAGCCTAGCATCAACAAAGTATACTCCCTACTTATTGATCAAGAAAGTCAGAGGAGTCTTGCAAATATTCAACAGTCTATGAAATATACTAAAGGAATAGAAAGTACAACTTGTACATGAATAAGGGTAATTGAGGTCTAGGTGATAACTACAAGTTCAAAAAGAATCAAGTTCAATGTGAATACTGTCATTTCAAGGGACACAACAAGGAGAATTGTTACAAACTCATAGGGTATCCACCTGATTTCAAGACTAAAAAAATGGCCTGCACCTACTCCTGGTCTGCATGGTATCATTAGTGTAGATTTTACTGCAGAAAAAACTGTTAACTAGAACCCTCAATCACATTGTGGAATCACTCAAGCTAATGTCTCCTATCAATAGAACAAGGGAGGATATAGTGTTTATCCACATCAGCAAGCTGTGTATACACAAAAATAACTTCCTAATTTTGGACCTCTTACTCAGCAACCTCAACTCTTGCTTTCTTCACTGAGGAACAGTATCGGCAAATACTTCACCTACAGTCTAAGGGAAATGAAGAGGCCCCGAGAACATCTAGCAGGCTGGCTATAACAAGTAATCTGATTGCCTTGATAACCAATTTTATCATTAGGAACTGGATCATAGACACTGGTGCCTCAAATCATATGACCTCTAGACTTGACATGCTTAAATCACACAGTCCAATTCAAAACGCAAAAAAAAAAACAGTTCATTTACCAAATGGAGAGGTGGTGTCTGTTTCTCACAAAGAGAATTCTACTGATATTAAAGATCACAATATATCTAATGTGATGTACATACCCGATTTCAAGTACAATTTATTGTTATTGTCTCAACTCACCAATAAGCTTCAGTGTTTTGTTGCATTCTTCCCTGACTTCTCTATTCTAGGATCTCTACAGTGGTCAGGTGAAGATGATTGGTAGAGAGGATCATGGACTGTATATTTTACAAGGAGAAGAACTTAGAACCCTTCAACACAGTCTGCTGAAAAATATTTCAACTCTGTTAGTGTGCCTTCTAGTTCTAGTACTTCTACGTCTAGTACTTGTTCCTCTAGTAATCTGTGCATAAGAGGTTGGGCCATGTCCTTGTAGATATAATAAAGAAGATAAATGTAATTAGTGATTTAAAGACATGTACTCATGAACATTGTACTTTGTATTTTTTGGCAAAGTAATACAAGTTGTCTTTTCTATTGAGTAATTCAACTACTAAGTCTGTGTTTGAATTAGTACATTGTGATATCTAGGGACCCTACAAGGTGCCAACCTATGATGGGAATAGATTTTTGTCACATTAGTAGATGATTACTCTAAATATACTTGGGTATTCCTCATTAATTCTAAGTCTGAAGCAGTAGTAGTGTTAAGAAACTTCTTACTCAAAGAAAAAACATATGTTTTCTACTGGTGTAAAGTGTTTAAGAACTTATAATAGTAGTGTGTTCTTCAGCAAATGAGTTTGTGTCTTTGCCAGCCACTTTTGACATCATGCATCAGACTTCGTGTGTGTACACTCCACAACAGAATAGAGTGGTAGAAAGAAAGCACAGAACAATTTTAGAAATGGCCACATCTCTCAGATTTCAACCCTCAATCCCACTAAGGTTCTGGGGTGAGTGTGTCATTACAACTGTATATCTCATAAATAGACTTCCTTCTAAGGTGATAGGGTACAAGACCCCCTTTGAAATGCTTTATTTGCATTCTCCTTCACTACAAAACCTGAGAGCTTTTGGGTGCCTATGCTATGCATCCAGTCCCAAAGTGCATGACAAGTTCTCTCCTACAGCTATACCATTAGTTCTTGTGGGGTACTCATCTACTCAGAAGGGTTGTATCTTATATGATCTCTACTCAAAAACATTTCATGTCAACAGAAATGTTACATTCCAGGAGGACATTCACCCTTTTAAGCACATGAAACAAGTCAGTAATCCCTTATTTCATGTGCTGGAGTTTGTTGCTTCTGATCCTGATAACACAATTCCTTATACAACAGATATTCACAACTACTCACAACCTTCTACATTAGTTTCAGAAGAGAACAGTGTACCTGATCAGTCTTATCATCTAGACACAATTGAACCTCTTCCTGTAAGTGAAGCACCACAAGTTGACACTCTGAGCACACCAACACTTAGAAAGTCCTCCAAAACTAGCAGACTTACTCTATGGCTACAGGACTATGTAGTCCAATCTAAAAGGTCCAAATGTGCTTATCCTATCTCAGATCATGTAACATATTTACATATTTCTCCATTGTACTGCCAGGTCGTATCAGCCTACTCAGCATGTAACTGAGCCTCAATCATTCCTAGAGGCAATAAAAGATCCTAAATGGGTGGATGCCATGAAACTTGAGATAACAGCCTTAGAAGACAATTACACCTGGAGCATTGTGGATCTGCTTCTTGGGAAGAAGCCAATTGGCTGCACATGGATTTTTAAGATCAAACATAAAGCTTCAGAAGAGATAAAAAGGTTCAAGGTCAGGCTTGTGGTCAAAGGTTATAACTAGAAAGGAAGGCTTAGAATACGGTGAAACCTTTTTTATCATGTGGCTAAGATGATGACAGTTAGGTCCATCATTGCTCTTTCAGCTCAAAGCATTGGTTCATTTATCAGATGGATGTGCATAATGCATTCCTCAATAGTAATCTCCTAGAGGAAGTCTACATGGTAATTCGTGATGGGTGTGCTAGACAGGGGAAGGGCCTAAATTCTGCAAACTAAACCAATCTTTATATGGTCTTTAAACAGGCTCCTAGGCAGTGGAATTTAAAACTGACGGAAGCTCTAGTTTTAATAGGATTTGATCAAAGTCACTATGACTATTCTCTATATACTAAGAAGGCTGCATGTGATGTGGTGATAGTCCTTGTATATGTGGATGACTTACTAGTCAGTAAACTAATCCAGATATGATAAACTACAGTAGGAGCAAGCTGCAACAGAGGTTCAAGATGAAAGATCTAGGGGAGTTAAAGTTCTTTCTAGGTATTGAGTTTGCAAGATCAATGTAACGACCCGACCGGTCGTTTTATGAATTTCAGCCCCGTCTTCCCCATCTCTACTTCTTTATGTCTTGTTCAGCTGTATTATGTGATATCGGATTGGTTGGCTCGGGTTCGGAATGGTTTAGTAGAATAATGAGACACTTAGTCTCTTAAGTTGGCCTTTTAGTTGGAAAAGGTCAACCGGAAGTTGACTTGTGGGTAAACGATCTCGGAATTTTGTTTTTATGATTCGGATAGCTTCGTGAGGTGATTTGGGACTTAGGAGCATGATCTGAATGTGTTTTGGAGGTCCGGAGTAGATTTAGGCTTGAATTGGCGAAATTGGAATTTTGGCGTTTTCTGGTTGGTAGCAAAGATTTTTGATATAGGGGTCCGAATGGAATTTCGGAAATTGGAGTAGGTCAGTTGTGTCATCTGGGACGTGTGTGCAAAATTTCAGGTCATTCCGACGAGATTTGATGGACTT